TTTCCATTAAAGATTTAAATTAATGAGGTTTGTAGCAAAGGCAAGATTCAGCTACAAAAGTGAGTGGGCAGTGTGTTTAACTCATGAAATTATGAACGGAGGTGAACATTTCCATACAATTACTGATGAAATTCACATTGTCTAGTTCTTTTACCCTTGCTGACTGCTCATTTTCTTTCTTGATACACTTAGGAAGACAGCAGGTGCCTGTGCACTCTATTTTAGCTATTTCTCCCTGTCTCCCCACAGCCCACTGCTAATGAGAATTACAGCTCCAAACGCTTCCCGTAGGAAGCTCAGCTTTGCAACAAACACTACAGCAGCTGGATTTCTCCTTGCCTAAGCTTTCTGCAAGTGTGAAAGGATTTGTGGGCCAGGGTAGAAATAGAGCTCTCTAGTCTGACAACTGAAAGTACCAAGACGCCTCATTTAACAGGTTAAAGACACACACACACTCCCTGACCACTGGCTGCTCTGCCCAGTTCCCTCTTCCCCTTCCCAGACGCACGTGCAGCACTCCTCCTCAAAAGCTGAACTGTGCCCGAAGCTCCAAAATTGCTTTCAAGACCGTTAAAAGCAAGGGGAAGAGGAATCTAGGGTTAAATACAGCAAGGCGCATTAGCTTTTACCTGAAATAATGAGCTAGAACAAAAACATTATCTGCACATAATCAAGCCTCTAAGCCGTTCAGAGACACCAGATACACACAGCAGGGGATCAAGCTACAGCACTCCACTGAAGTGGTCCAAAAAAAGCCTCCTCGAAAGAAAGGAGAGGTCACAGGTATCTTGAAGAACATAGATGCTTATGCAGGCATTCGCTGGGAGCCCTGCCCTCCCCCTCCCCACCCCAATTAGCCTTCAGGCTGGTTGATTAGTTGGCAAACTCTTTGAAAGGGTCAGTCTGTCCAGAACTGGTATTTCCACTCGGGAAACAGCTCAGGCATGTCATATACCTGTGCCTGCCCAGCGCCGCGCTCCCTGGCTGACGGCGGCGATCCCTGTTATTACTTGACACAAGAATGTCAGAGGGGTTTTGTAATCGTGTAGGGCAGCCAGCAGTAAAGTTCTTGCCTGAAACGCGGTATTTTATGGGGCACAACGTAACTGCGTACGCTTTACAGATTCACTTGGAGTGGCTTCCAAACTTCAAGGCAATTGCAGAGGTGCAGTGAGGCTTTAATTGAAGTAATTTAGCTCCGGCGCTCCAACACCCGAGAGGAAAGTGCTTTTGGAGGGGATGGGAAGCAGGCACCAGCACGTGCTGGCACACGGCACAGGGGGCTCTGCAAGGCACACATCAAGGCACAGCTCAGCAGCGTTTTCCACAACACCGTTTTACCTTAACCAAACACATCTAATGAATTTGGGCTCATTCCACGGCTAAGCTGCACCTAAACCCGTTTAATTGTGCTCCTACTGTATATTTCGCCACTATGGTAACTAAGGCAAGTAAAGCCAATTTGCCTTAAAAAAAAAAAAGGATCACTGCCAGGAAACAGAGCTATTTTAAATAAACAAATACAAGATGAATGCAATTGCCATATTAACCCTCTTGTTAACTTCTGAAGTTTAAAATTACACCCTCATTACTAGTGTGTAATTGAGTATTCTCCCGGCTGTTTCTTGCATTTGAGGTTATTCAAATAGTTCATTAGCACATCAAGAACACCACACACACTAATGATACCTGATGCCCCTATCTACTGTTCTGGCCCGACTTTCGACATCTTCCGCAAAAAGAGAAATAAAAGAGGGGAGAAAGAACTAAAAAGGAGGAAAGGGGAGCCCTTAGGGCTGAGCTGTCGGTGCTGCCACTGAGGGGGAGCATGGCAGCACCCAGGCACCAGTCAAGTCCAACACCCAGGCAAACAGTGAGTGGCCACTGGACCAGTGGCAGGGCATGAAGAGACTGAAGGGGCAAAAGTAATTTGGATAACTTGCGTCTGGGCTCTTGGGGTGCCTGAAGAGTGAGCGTGACTCAAGAGCTACCCCAAAGCTGGCAGTGTGCCTGAGTGCCCAGCCTTGGGGCAAGAAAGGAGGGGGGCAGTGCAGACTATGTGGGGCAGGGTGAGGGGCTGCCACTTTTTTTCTCTTTTTTTTTTCCTTTTTCTTTTTCCGGTTACCTGTGTGGGGGTAACAATAGCAGGTGAAACTACTGTGGGTGAGGTGGTGCTTCTGTGCCCGTTTGCTTCGGGGAGGAGGTGAGGCAAGGGGTCGTGTTTCACTGAGACCACCACCACGGCGGGCGCAGCGGCATCCAGGGGCTCGGCGGGGCGGCGGCAGAGTCTTTTTGGGGAGGCAGAGGGCCCACAGGCATCACCGCCGGCCGCAGCCCCTGCCGGGAACACGGCCTCGTAGAGCGCCCGCTTGGCTGGGGCCACTGCGGCCGCTTCTGCTTTCACCGGCGCAGCGTCCCCGTCTTTGGGCAGCACGTAGGGGTTGGCAGCGGGCGGCCGTGGCCGAGGCCCACCATTGAGGGCGGCAGGGGTGTAGCAGCCCCCGCCAGCGGGGTGGTGGAGGAGGTGGTGGTGGTGGGGAGGGGGGTGGTGGTGCTGGGGTGGCTGCAGTCCTCCCAGCTTGGTGCCAATGCCAGCGATACTGTTGAGGGTGGCAATGGAGACGGCACCGATGCAGTGGTTGGTGTAGGTCTTGGAGAGCTTGGCCGCCTTGGAAAGCATCTGCATGCGGGTACCCAGGAGGTTCTTCCCGATGGCCTTGTTCTCGTACCAGGTGATGTCCCCCTCGCTGCAGTGGTCCCGCGGGCGCTGGAAGAAGGCCTTGCAGAGGGGGTTGCGCTTGGAGAGGTACTTGACAAAGCTGGCATAGGGGCAGAATTCTGTGCCAGTCTCATACATGCGAGGCAGGTTCTCCTCGTCGCTGCTCTCCGCCCGCTTCTTGCTCCAGGAGGACGAGCGCGACTTGTGGTAGGGCCCCAGCGCCTTGAAGTAGACGAACTTGCGTCCGTCCTCATCCACGGCCAGCCCAAACGAGTCCTCCTCCAGCTCACGCTGGTTCTCCCGGCCGCGGGTGCAGAAGTACATGCAGGTCTCAAACCAGACCTTGTTGAGGAGCCCGAAGGGGCTCTGGGTGCTGAAGACGCTGCACGTGTAGAGCTTGCGGAGGTCGGCGCGGGTGATGGCCTGCTTCTGCACCACCGGCCCGGCGCCCTGCTCCTCCAGCTTGCGGATGACAGCGGCCAGGGTGAGGTTGGCGGCGCGCAGCTCGGGGTCCTTGGTGAGGTCGAGGGTGCGGCAGTAGGGCGGCTCGTTGAGGTAGCGGTTGAGGGAGCTGCGGATGCTGATGAGGGAGGACTTGGAGTAGAGCTGCCCGCTCTTGGAGCGCGCCTCGGCGTAGAAGGAGCGCAGAACCCGGCAGAGCGCCCCCTTGTCCATGGTCTCGAAGTCGGGGCTCTGCGCCTTCTCGCTCAGGTACTCGCGGAAGATGCGCACGGCGTAGCGGGTGGCTAGCCGCGTGTTCTCGCTCAGCCGCGCCCGCTCCGGCCGCTGCAGCAGCAGGGCCGCCTCCAGCTCCGCGTCCTCCGCCGCCCCCCCGGGGCCGCCGCCGCCGCCGCTGCCAGGCATTCTCGCCATATTGCCGTCTCCCTGCCAGTCCTCGGGCAGGGCGCATGCGCTATATTGGACCGCAGCGCTGGAGCGCTTTTGTGTTTTAATGACCTTCAGCTACCGGGAGGCAAAGCCGGGCTCTTAAAGGGGCCGCGCTC